AGCAGGACAGAGTTGGAAGGGACCTTGGAGGTCATTTAGCCCAGCCCCCTGCTCAAGCAGGAGACCCTTACAGAATCATAGAGTAACAGAAGTGGAAGGGATCTTGGAGGTCATCTAGTCCAACCCTCTGCTCAAGCAGGAAACCCTTAACAGAATCATAGAATAATAGAGTTTGCAGGGATCTTGGAGGTCATCTAGTCCAACCTCCTGCTCAGGCAGGAAACCCTTACCAGAATCATAGAATAATAGAGTTGGGAGGAACCTTGGAGGTCATCTAGCCCAGCCCCCTGCTCAAGCAGGAGACCCTTAGAGAATCCTAGAGTAACAGAAGTGGAAGGGACCTTAAGAGGTCTTCTAGCCCAGCCCCCTGCTCAGGCAGGAGACCCTGTACCACTTCAGACGAATGTCTGTCCGATGTCTTCTTTAAAAAAACCTCCAGGGATGAAGCACCCACAACTCCTGGTGGCAAGCAGTTCCGCCGGCTAACGGTGCTCAGAATGAACTCTTGGAATGAAGAAGGAAGGTCAGCACCATATCCCACCGTTGCTCTCAGAGACGGGAAATTCTGCAACAGGTTGTAGGAACAAAAGGCTCTCCTCCTCTGAAGTTACACCTTGGCATTCCTCCCTGACCCCTTTTCGAGCCACACAAATGGAGTCGATCGCAATTGTGCCAAGCACTCATTGTGAGTCTGCCAGGTGCAGGCCTTGTTTCCTTCTCCTTTGCTTGAACACAATGGTTCCTGATCGGCCGTTGAACATAGAAGCTCGGATGTAGAACATCGGAGTTGGAAGGGACCCTGGAGGTCATCTAGTCCAACCCCCCTGCTCAAACAGGAAACCCTTACCAGAGACATAGAATAATAGAGTTGGAAGGTACTTTTGAGGTCATCTAGACCAACCCCACACTGAAGTAGGAGACACTTACAGAATCATAGGACAGAGTTGGAACACACCTTGAGGTCATCTAGTCCAATCCCCTGCTCAGGCAGGAAACCCTCACAAAATGCTAGGACGGAGTTGGAAGGAACGTTGAAGGTCATCTAGTCTAACCTCCTGCTCAGGCAGGAAACACCAGAATCATAGAATAATAGAGTTGGAAGGGACCTTGGAGGTCATCTAGACCAACCCCACTCTCAAGCAGGAGACCCTTGCGGAATCATAGGAAGACAGAGTTGGAAGGAAACGTAGAGGTCATCTAGTCCAACCCCCTGCTCAAACAAGAAACCCTTACCAGAGTCATAGAATAATAGAGTTGGAAGCGACCTCGGAGGTCATCTAGTCCAGCCTCCTGCTCCAGCAGGAAACCCTTACAAAATCATAGGACAGAGTTGGAAGGGATCTTGAAGGTCATCTAGTCCAACCCCCTGCTCAGGCAGGAAACACCAGAATCAAAGAATAATAGTGTTGGAAGGGACCTTGGAGGTCATCTAGACCAACCCCACTCTCAAGCAGGAGACCCTTACAGAATCATAGGAAGACAGACTTGAAAGGGACTTTAGAGGTCATCTATTCCAACCCCCTGCTCAGGCAGGAAACCCTTACCAGAATCATAGAATAATAGCGTTGGAAGGGACCTTGGAGGCCATCTAGACCAACCCCTCTCAAGCAGGAGATCCTTACAGAATCATAGAATAAACAGACTTGGAAGGGACCTTGGAGGTCATCTAGTCCAGCGGGGAGCCCTCTACTATTTCAGACAAAGGCTTGTCCCGTCTCTGCTTAACAATTTCCAGGGCTGGAGCAGTTACAACTTCTGGTGGCAAGTAGTTCCACTGATTTGGACGACCTTCCTGGCCCCGGAGTTCTTCAATTAGCTACCCGGTTGTTAACCGAATCCGGCTTCAACCCTTGACTTTGCCCCGTGTGCCCAGGACACTGCCACACCGTCATAACTACGAGTCGTTGGGCTCAGCGTCCGCATATCGAACCCGTGGCCGCGCACCCTGCAGTTGATCAGTTACGAAAATCTAGCGAAGGACAGAGAATTGGGGATAAAGGGAGAGAAGAGACTGGACAGCCATTTGTCCAAAATGGTATAGGGTTTCCTGCCTTAGCTGTGGGTTGGACTAGATGACCTCCAAGGTCCCTTCCAACTTTATTATTATTATTATATAACTTGTTGAAGAAAAGAAGGAGGAGAAGGAGAAGGAGAAGGAGAAGGAGAAGAAGAAGAAGAAGAAGAAGAAGAAGAAGAAGAAGAAGAA